GATGAATGTGAGCGTGAATATTGTTGGATGTGAATCGTTGAATGTGAATATTGTTGGATGTGAATCGATGAATGTAAATGTGAATATTGTTGGATGTGAATCGATGATTGTGAATGTGAATATTGTTGGATGTGAATCGATAAATGTGAATATTGTTGAATATATTGTTAATATTAGTAGCAACAGGTATACATTCCCGATTGGGGGGCTCAAAAAGTAATTTTTTTGGATTACATACATTGGCGATGACAAGAGCCGTCGCAGCATGAAAATTGTCGACGCCATAACACTCGTCGTGCCAATGAACATTGGCGACGGACATAGTCCGCGCCAAGAACATGGAGACCATGGCGACGTGGTTCATCCCCTCGCCACGATGAAAATTGGCGACGGGCCGAACGACCGTATTCCTGTCGCCAATGAACATTGGCGACGGGATAATTCATGTCGCCAATGAACACTAGCGACGGACGTAGTCCGTCACCAATATTTTCCGTCGCCAATACATATCCGTTGCCAATGAACATTGGCGACGGATGACCTCGTCACCAATGTTCATTGGCGACAGGATTATTAGCGACGGACTGTTCCCCGTCGTGAAAGTGTATTGGTGACGGAGTTTACTGCATTGGCGACGGATTTCCCCGTCGCCAATACTCTTTTTTCTACTAGTGGCTGGAGTTGGCCACAAAGACGGGACCACCGATTTAGGAGAGCAGCAACAAAATAACCACAGAAATTGGACAGTCTATCTCGTGCATGATCCTAGCTAGCTAGCTTATAATCGGTGAAGCATCCTTGAAGGAAGTAAATCAGTGCTTCGGAAACGACCGATTGGTGGGCTTTTAGGTATTCTTGGATCGTCCCGTAGTCGGGTTTTCTTTGGATGGGTCAAGGTGATCGGCATTTAGTCACGTCCTTGGACTTTCACCCTCAATGTAGCTAGTTCAAACGTAGGTCAGGCATGTTTTAAAACCTTGGCTTGGGGTTGATCCTTGATGGGAGGTGAAGGTAAAGGGGACGAGGAGTTGGGCCGGAGTCGCCGGACGTAGGGCCACTCACTTTTCTTATTGTAGAAAATTAACTTCAAATTAAATAGCCTTTCGACCAATAGATTTTGTTAGCTTCATCTTGGACGACGAGATTAGTTTGAACACGATACACTTTCCTTCAGTATGCGTGTTGACCGGTGATAAGTGGTGAGCCTATGAAAACGAGAGCTTTAAGAGATAACCAAAAGGTTATAAACAAAGACCATATGTCACTATCTGCATCTCCCTTTATTTATTTATTTTATTTTTTGTTTTGAGTAATCATCAATTTTTCTATATTATATTGATAACCGCATATTTAAATAAACAAACCCTAAATAATAACTTTTCATAAACACCGGTTGATTTGTACGGGCTTTGGGGACAGTTGCACACCTAAAATTCAGTTAATGACATTTAAGTTCTTTTAAAATTGCAATTTATCTCTCTAGATTTAAACAATTTGCACCCTTACTCTCTTATATAACCAAATAGCTCATTGTATTCAACACATCTAAAATTAGTAGCTCATTTAACTTCTTAAACGTTCAAATCAAAAAGGTCCAGACGCTAAAAAAATCAAACAATCTGGCGAGATAATAAGATGTAAGGAGCCGAAAACTATACCAACTACATTTTTATCAGACACTATATTTTTATTATTATATTATTATTTTTATGTTAATAAATAGTTACCTCATTCCCAACAAAAAATTTCTAGATCTGCATCTCCATAGGCAGCAAACCTCCTAGCCATTCTAGCATCAAACTATATTATATTGAAGACTTGATGCTTGAGTTGCTCAAAAAGGCTAAAATACCATACGATAACGACATTGAGGGAAAAGCTAACAATTTAAGGCATAGCACAGCTAAGAAAGTGGAAAGTTGCATTTTCAGTCAGCTATGTGGTGCTAAAATTGACTTAAAAATACCCTAGAGTATAAAGAAAAATTTCTAAACACCGCTATTATTATGTTGAAATAGTCATGAAAATACCTTAACAACAGTAACAATATGCCAAGGGTTTGTTTTAGAGCTATCCAAACGGGCCGGTTCGGGCTTCCGGGTCCGGGTCGGGCAAAATGCCTAGCCCGGACCCGGACCTTGGGTTGCTCGGGCCGGGCTCGGGCACGCGTCTGGGCGGGGATCCAGTCAGCTCAGATTTTTTTTTAATAATATGTTTTTGCTAAATTTTGATTAAAATTAGATTAATCTTATTATATCTATATAAACATGTACTAGTATATACTTACATATTAATATATACCTAAATATTTTTTGAGAAACGCGGAGAGGAGCTGGCCAGCGTAGGAAATTTCCTACGCTGAAGTGATATGGCATGTGAGCCCCCCTCACTAGTCACATCGGTGTGGGGCTCACATGCCCTACATTTAGACGTAGGAACAATTTCTTACGCATGCCAGCTCACCTCCCGTTTTCTCATATATTATATATATATTATATGTAGTATATAAGTAAACATTATGACTATAAATAAGCATTTGTACTAGCTATATACTTACATATTAGCTATATAGCTATATATTATTATATGTAAGTATATATAAGAAACATTATGACTATAGGTATACATATATTATATTAGTATACATTAGAATTATATATGTAAGTATATATTAATGACATATGCACTTAACAAATATATAGAAGTTACATTAATGAGGCATACATCACTATAATTATACATAAAATAATATCTATATATATAAATCTTTATATTTATATATATATATATAGATATAATATATATATATATATATATGATATATATGAGATTAATGGGTATCCCTTGTCATAGGAGGGGCATTCCTCCTTGACGCCCTCTAAAATCACATGAATTGATGTGACATTATGGTGATCCGCTCCGGTTGAACTTTGATCGACATATTCTAAAACCCCAACACACCCAGTTTGGGTGAAATCCGTCATCGTTTGATCCCTCATCAAGCCAGTGCAAAAGTACTATTCATTCAAAACGTTAAAATTTGATCGAGTGGATGAGCGTCAAACGACGACGTCGTTCACCCCAACTGGGTCTGTGGGTTTTTAGAATATGTAGATCAAAGTTCAACGGAGCGGGATCATCCATAATGTCACTCAATCATGTGATTTTAGGCGTCAAGGAGGAAATCCCCTCCTATGATAAGGAACCATTATTATCTATCTATCTCTCATCTCTCTCCTCTATCTATCTATATATATATATATATATATTATATATATATATTATATATTATATTATATAATATATATATTATTATATATTATTATATATATAATAATATATATAATTAAAATATCGCCGACCTGGTGGCTGCCCAGGTTGGACTCCACCACCTCAGACCGGACCTGGAGATCGGAGCCTAGCCAGCCCGGCTTTTCCGTGCCTTGTCCGAGCCCGGAGCCGGAGTCGGGCCTGAAGCTCATTTGGATAGGGCGATAGTTTGTTTGATAAAAGGATAAAGGGGGAAAACTTTTTCCTAATTTTAACCATGTTTATTATCAAATTAAAATTTTAGCAAAATTAAAAGTTTAACCACATATATAGGGATAAATCTTTAATTAAGTGAAGTGGTAATATAAAGGGGGAAAAGTTTAAGCTTGGTTCATTTAGAGGGTGTTTTGGAAGGCTTATTTTTTTAAAGCTTAAAAATTATGCTAACTCTTAGTGGCTTTTGATTTTTATGATAAAAATATTATAAAAATTATTTGGGAAGTATAATAATTTGTTTAGTCAAACCTAACTTATTTAGGTGAGCTTATAAGTTAGTTTTTCAAAAGTTGAGGTATGCTAGCTTTTTAAAATGTGACTTATAAATTAACTTATATTGTATTTTACCAATCACGTAGAAATGAAAAGGCTAGCTTAAAAGCTAATTTGACCAAAATATAAGCCACCCAAAATATCCTCTTAAGCAAGTGCAATTATAAATAACACACAAAGAAGTTTTCAAATTTACCAAAAAGTCCCTAAAACAAAAAAAAATTCAAATGTCCCCTCATAAATAGAAAGTTACAAACATCCCCAACAACTCCCAAACTACAAAGAGAAAAACTCTCAAAAATTCAAAAATGGTAAACTCCCTAACTTTCGAAACATAAAAATAACTTTAAAATTTTCAAGCCTTACAAAAAGGACAGTGAAAATTTTCATATTCTCAGAAAATGCCCTAAAATTTTAAAAAATTCCAAAAATCCTCAAAAATTAAATTTAAAAAAAACAACTTGAAAATATCAAATCGAAAATATTTCAATTAAAATTAGGGAAGTACAAATATCCCTAGAAGTTTTGGAATTTGTACAAAACACTCTAAAACTTTAAAAACTTGCAAAAACACCAAAAAAATTTGAAGATCTAATAATTACAAATAGCACTTGAAAATTTATTTTTTTTGCAGAAAACACCCTAAAACTTTTAAAATTTGGTAAGACCACACTCAAAAATTTAAAACTTATAGAAAAAGCTTCAAAATTTCAAACCTAAAATAGAACATTAAAAATCTATGAACTCTAAATGGCCCCCATAAAATTTTAGAATTCACCAAAAACACCCTATAATTTCAAATTTATAATAAACACCCTCAAAATTTTAAAATTTATACAAACTGGTTGAATATTTCAAACCTATAAATAGTACACTAAAAATATTAGAATAACCCACCAAAAGTTTTGGGATTTGCATAAAATACTATAAGACTTTTATAACTTACAAAAAAACACCTTCAATAATTTTATATTTAAAAAGAGCATAATTTTTTTTTAAACTTACAAAAAGCACCATCAACAATTCAAAATTTGAAAAAAGAAAAATCACTAAAATTTATTAAGAAAACAATTGTCTGCCCTACCAACAAAAAACACTAAAAATTTAAAAAGAAAAATCCCCACCCGGGCCCACAGCAAAAACTAGCCGTTACGGGTTACGACCCATCCTCTCAACGTCCATTTTCGTTCCTCCCCTCGCTCTGCTCTCTTCTCTTCCAGATCGCTCCTCAAGAACACCGCCCACAAAAAGAATAAAAGCCCTAATCGTGATCAAATTAGAAGCAGCAAGATCCCTCCTTTCCTCTCCCATAACCATCGCCATGGCAACATCAGCAAACCCATCAAAAACACCAATCAAAACCCTGTCCTATTGCGAGAACGCCGATCCCAATCTCCCAATCCCTAGAACTCCTTCTCAAAAGCCCACAAGGACTCCATTGATGAAATCCTCATCAAAGCCCAAGAAACCCATTTCAACTCCCGCCCGAATCCAGTCACCACCTCCTCCTCCTCCTCAACAACAACATCAACAGCAGAGGAAGTTCATTGTCGCCAAGAAGAAGAAGAACCCAAGAAATACTAGTGAAAAAATCAATGATTTTGATCCCCAGAAAGCCGCTTACGAGGCCCTCAGAGCATCACAAGACAACTTCTTTAAGAAAGATTGTGGCGAATCAAAGGATGAAACTGAGAAGATTGAGGGGAAGGGAGAGAAATCTGAGACTCGAGATGTTGAGAGGATGAAGAGTTTAGTGATGGAGGAAGCTCTGAGAGATATACCGGAGCCCGGATCAGGAAGGGTGAAGCATTTGGTCAAGGCTTTTGAGAATCTGCTCTCAATTTCAGATGAGAATGAGGGGGAAAAGAGTGAGAGAAGAAGATTTAAGGAGATTGATTGGGCTTTGCCAGGATTGCGAGAACCATTGATGATGAAGAGGCTAGAGAGTGAAGATGGTGAAGGCGGTTCTTGTCGTGTTTGCTCTTCTTTGGAGTTTGTCAGAGATTCGAGGTTGTGTTCGTCGTTTGACAGTAATGGTGATAGGTTAGTCGTCATGGTATTTTCTGCAAAAATTTTGGTTTTTTTAAAAATAATTTTTTTGGGCTATGGTTTTGAGTGGCTGGTTCATTCAGTAGGCTTAGCTTTGGGAGTAGGACATCGAATGGCAGCAGGAGGAGCAGACGCAATGTAAGATCTGAATCATCTGATCACATCTTTCGTTCCTTACTCTTCCGGTATATTGTCAATTTCATTTAGGAATTTTCTGAAAGTTGATTGTCTGGATTGGATATTTTTGGCTCAGAGTTTGGATTCATCAAGAAGGAGTTGGAATAAGAAGCTGAAGGTGACAAGTCAACAGCCGTTCAAACTGAGGACTGAGGTATTCTGGTCCTTAAAATTAATACTTTATTTTCTTTTATGCGGATATGAATAATCTGTCATCTTAAGCTTTAGCATAGTTTCCTTATGAAATAGGCCACTGCAGTTTAGTAACTTTTGATGTTCCATGTAAATTTTTCTAGTACATAATGAGAAATCCATAATTTGAAATCCATATAGAAATGAATCATGCCAAATACCAAAATCCACTAGAACTGTGTTCGACAGGGTGCCCAAAGTTTGACCTTAGTTTGATAATTATAAGATTTTGAAGGATATTCAATTGGTCAAATTAGTAGTTTTGGATTCCATATCTAGTCTCATCACCCAGAAACTATCTTTAGTTGCGCTAGTTTTAAGCTATGTTACCGGGGGTACTTCTATCATGTTCAATAGGGTGCCCAAAGTTTGACCTTAGTTTGAAAATTATTAGATGACGAAAGAATATCCAATTGGTCAATTTGGTAGTTTTGATTCCATATCTACTCTCATCACCAAAAAACTATCTTTAGGTGTGCTAGTTTTAAGCTATGTTACCCGGGTACTTCTATCATGAAGCGGTACCCGTACCTGATACATACACGACACTTATTTGTACCCAAATTTCATGGACACTCCTTGGATATATGCCTACATTTATTCAAACGTGTGCTCAATTATATGATGTATTTCTTAATTTAAAATACTTGTCAAACACTTCTTAGACGTACATCTCACACTTCCTAATGCTCACATCCATTTCTTGAAACTCGTTAGACATAGGTCGGGTTTGTTCTAGACCATACCAAGTTCAAAACTATGATTGTAAAAGGTCGTTTGGATGTCTAGTTCAAATATGAGTAGTTTTCAATTTATAATAATCAACATAATAAAAGAAACATTAAAACATGATAGGAATTTTAATTCTAGTAACATGTGTATTGAAAAATAATAATGATCTCATGCAAATTATCAATCTCAATGTATATATGTAGCCGTGTATCCGTACCCTACATTTACAATTTTGGCATGTCTCATACCCGTACCCGTACCCGCACATGTACCAGTACCGGTATCCGTTTTCATGCAACTTAGGTTTTAAGTGTGCTCTGATGTTTGTTGCAAATTTGGTGGCTTATGAAGTTGGCTCCTGTAAAGTCTATAATGCATTTGGTAGGTCAATATATGAATATCCTGTTTAGCCAAGAAAATTTGAGATTTTGCCTCTAGTCGCCTTCTGCTTTTGAATATCTCATCAAGTTTAGCGGAAACTAATCCAGCCGCATAAACTTGTATTAAATGCGAGAATACACTGTCGAGACTAATATTTCAATGTATGAGTTGGAGAAATGCTTTGATCTCAAAAGTTGGTGTCAAACTATAGTGTCTAGCTCACTATGGGAGATAGTTTGTTATACACATTTGTGGATATCTAAATCAATGTTTGAAAAAGCTTTTCTGAAACTCGCTTCAAAACTCGCCTCAAACTTATTGAAGGGTAAACGCTTCAAAACTCAAAAGTAAAGTTATTTATCCCTTGAAACTTATGCCTCATCGCTTAAAGCATAATTGAAGTGTGTGTTTTGGCCTAATAAAGCGCTTTTTATTTTGAAACACACACTTAATACTAGATAGTAGGACATAAAAGGATATTTGACTAACATTATAAAATGCCCCTGTATATTTTCAATATGACTATGTGAGTATAAATAAAATATATATGTTATGCATGTAGCTTAGTTTATTATGATTTATTTCTATACTTTACATGTTTAATTCTTATTTACTAATCAGAACATGAATGTATATATTTGTAATTGTTACGCCACTATATATTATATGTTCATAATTGTTATAAATTTAAAATTAAAATATTTAAACTCATGAAGGTTATCACACTTTTAAGCTTACGCCTTGCTTTATCAAAGGATCTAGCATTCGCCTTGCGCTTCCGCTTTTTTAAACATTGATAAATTAAGGTGAATCCAGTATATTCCTTATCATGTTAGTAATTTCATTATACATGATATATGAGGATGACCAACATGTCACTTTGGGTGATATTTTGACTTACCTCAACAATGTCCAAGTAACAAATTCCTTAGTTGAATATAAAATTACATTGAAAGTCCAAACTGAAGTAAACAAATGTGCCTTTTATAGAACAGTTTCAGATATTCAAATGATCATCAAGTTTGAGATCTGTTTAATCTAGTTAGCTTATTTGACTTGAATTGTTACCAAATAGACTCATTAGAATAGTAGTCGATATTGAAATGATGATTTTAGTAGGAACATAAAGTGCAGTTTTGTTTGGTTGATTTCACAAAGTAGTGTAAAACTTCACCTAAAACACAAACTAATGCACGTGATAAGGGTCACAACTGTTACATAACCAAGTTTCCCTAAAAGCCACAAACAAAACCCTACAAGGAGAAGTTGTTGTTTAGGTCAAACTCAAAACCTCTCGAAATCTGGTGTTCTATGCCATATTATATAACACTCAAATATTAAAGAAAGTGCTATGTAGTTCACCAGGAATGTATCCAAGACAAATTTTAATTAAAATTAACAACATGAAATGAAAACTTCTAAGCATATTTTTGTTTGTCAGTGTTATTTTGTGTTGCAATATGGACAACAGGCTAAAGAGATACCAAACATGAAGTTTATTTATCAAAGAAACTGCCATTTCCTTGCTACATCTGGAAAAGTTTTTTAGCATCCTTGTTCTTCCATGCTACATGCTGATGAGTCATATTAATTGTACTGTGACTCAAATAAGCTAATAGGAAATTGTAAAATACTAATCCTTCAAAATCAAGCCTTGCTTTCTTGTAGATGTTATTAAATCTTAGGATACATCAACATTTTGCACTTCTTATTATAGTAGTGATAATGCAATCAATCGACCAACCACATTACTTTAGAACCTATATTCTGAATAATTTATGAGAAATCAATATATCAAATGGTATTAAATATATGAGATTTAGTAACTCAGTTTTGTTTCTCAATTACAGCAAAGAGGGAGGGTTAAAGAAGAAAATTTTATCATGAAAGTTAAGGAGATGCTTACAGTGGAAGAGAAGAAACGTATACCAATTGCTCAAGGCCTTCCATGGACTACAGATGAACCAGAGGTGAACTCAGTTTCCTTTCTCTTAATTTGCTTGGAAGTATTTTTCGTTATTAAGTTGTTTGCTGAACCTACATATTCATAATGAATTGTACATGAGAAGAATCAATTTGCATAAAAATTAAATTATATAATGTGGCTGTACAATCAGACATGTCTTAAGATTGACTGTTAATTAATTGAAAATGAACATATTTGAGAAAGAGGTTATCTGAAATGAAAAAATTTTGGAATTGATGATCGGAAGTTGCTTCAGGTTAGGTAAGAAGTGAGTCTTTGTATGTAATTGGGTGTGAATTTAATTGATTATCAGACAAAGAAGCATTGCTCAAAATGGAGGAAATATATTAACATAAGTGGTAGGATTCTGAAGGGGGTGCCCAGTTTGGACTAGGAGTAGACCAAAGAAAACATGGATCAAGGTAATGAAAAAGGTAGGTGATTCTTAAACTAACAAATTACTTAGCTCTTAACATAGCAAAATAGAGAGAAAGCAGTTCAAGTAGCTGTCTCAAAAATGATTTGGCTCCTAACCTAGCAGAGTGGAGAAAAAGGAATTAAGTAACTGTCTGGAGGTAAGTAAAATAGTTTTTCCTCTCTGTCAATTTGCTTTAGATAAAAATCTGCCTTCTTAGAGGGCCATATATTAATTGGTTTTAAACCAAATATTAAAAGCCGTGAATGCAATTGAAGCGTAAAATTATTGCGTTTAATGAAATGCTCATGCATAGTCGATTGTTAGGATTGTTGACATAAGTTTGAGATTGGGAACACTGTTTTGGCAGTACATGCCTCACTGTTCACCTTCTGAATGCTCTATGCTTTTCCATGATCTTGAGCAACATAATATGCTCTCATTTTTTTGTTTAGGGAGGCGCAGGCTGTCGGAAACTGTAGTATTGCTAGAATCTTTTCTTTTTTTAGTATCTTTTTTATCTGTGGATAGGATGGGTAATTTTGAGACCAATTTAGATGTCCCTTTCCAGTACTTTAGATGGCTTGAAAGCTTTCGCTCAGAGATTTTCCTTTTGATGCAGTCAAAATAAACGGTTGGGTTGCTTGTAAGTAGTAAGGCAGAGGCAAAGAAGCCTCAGAAATGGACAGTAAGTTTTTACTAACAGCTATCTAAAGGTGGAGGTAGATGAGGATATCAATCTGAAAGTTCATAATACTTTTAAGAGAGCGTCTACTTGTTACACATGCATCAAAAAGAGAACACGAATGTGACGCACTCTTCAGTAGTTATGCAGTCCTGCCTTTGCAAACATATTTGGAATTGTCTAATTGCTGTAAGATCCATGCATAACACATTATCTTAAACATATTTACACTCTACTAAAAATTCCAATATGATTTTGGTTTGGAATAATTGAATAGACCTCACGTTTGCTGTGAAACTTGCCACTGCCAGACATGAAACAATTTGTTCATTTATTAATAATTGCCTGCACAGCTACTCTCTACAGAGTCTCTACAGCAATGGCTTGAGGTATTTTGTTCCTTACACATTCTCCTTACAAAATGTACTGTGATTTTGTGCTACTGCAGCCTTTTCTTTCACTTGCTAATGTAATGTGGAAGATCAAAATAGTTGATGGAACTCTATGATGACTGTTGATTTCTCTCCTCTCACCAAGTAATGTGGAATGATTGTGCTGAGCGGAAATATTAGCCTTCATCACATATGGCCCTTCAGTTTTAAATTCCTTTCTTTTTTTTTTTTTTTTTTTAAATAGTCCTTAATTTTAAAGTTTAAGAGACAGATTCGTTTGAATTTTATTCACTCTTAAAAGTTATTCAAAAACTGCTAGTGGTCATATGAATTTTATTCACTACCAAATTCGATTCAAAAATTACTAGTGTTCCTTTTTAATTCTGCACGTAAATTATGTGATTCTTCCAAGTCTTCATTAAGTTTTCCTGGATGATCAAAATAGTTGATTGAACTCAATGATGACTGTTGATTTCTCTCCTCTCACTAAGTAATATGGAATGGTTGTGCTGAGTGGAAAATTTTAGCCTTCATCACATATGGCTCTTCAGTTTTAATGTTTTTTCCCTTTTGTGCGGATAGTTCTTAACTTTAAAGTTTAAGAGACAGGTTCATTTGAATTTTATTCACTCATGGAAGTTAATTCAATATTGCTAGTGATCATTTGAATTTTATTCACTCCTGAGTTCGATTCAGAAGTTGCTAGCGTTCCATTTTAATTCTGCAAGTAAATTATGTGATTTTGCCAAATCTTCATTTAGTTTTCCTCGATGAAATTCTTGCAGTGCTTGGTGAAACCTCCCGTGAAAGAAAGGACGGAGCCAATTGATCTGGTTCTCCACAGTGATGTACGTGCAGTGGAGAGATCAGAATTCGATCAATACGTAAGTAATTCCATAGAACTACCACTTCAGATCTAACATTAAACATTTTTCCTAGCGTTCCAAAGTTGAAAAAGTTGTTACTCATCTGTTTTCTTCAGGTTGCTGAGAGATTGAATTTCATTGAGCAACTAAAACTGGAAAGAGAGAGACAGCAGCAGGTCAGCCAGCAAGTGTAGAATACTTGGTTTAATTTTAATCTACCTACTTTTCTGTTTAGCTTGTAGAATTATATGTTCTATTATTATACAGCTAGAAGAAGAAGAGGAGATAAAGAGGCTCAGAAGGGAGCTGGTGCCAAAAGCGCAGCCAATGCCTTATTTTGATCGTCCCTTTGTACCAAAAAAGTAAGAAGTCTTAATATTCCCTAATCTCCATCAAAAGTCTTTCGCTATGCAAATCGATAATCTTTATCAAAAAGTCTTTCGCTACTGCAAAAACTGTAACTCTATCATCTGAATGGCGATAATAGGTCTACGAGGCCTCGTACTGTCCCAAAGGAGCCTAGATTTCATGCTCGTCCAATGAAGTCATCATGGTACGTTGAAAATTCTTTGACTACATGTCTCCATATTATGATGATACTTGTACCAGAGATGTTAGATGGATACTAATTGTTCAATGTTGCCAATGTAGTGTATCGCTGTTTGGAAGATGATGAAGGGTGTTGTTAATCTCGAGGAACATCTGAAATCTTTGTTAGAATTCTTTTTTATTGAAGATGAGGCATTGAAAGGATTATGTGCATATGCAATTTGAATTTGGAATTTTCAAACATTGAATTTTTCTGACATGGTTTCCCAAAGCGGTGGTGGTTTTTATGAGTGGGAAACCATTCTGGAGTGAAGTCAGTTTTGCAGTTTCATGTATCATTTGATGAGCTGTAACCTTATGTATCAATTTGATGGTTTTCATGAGTGAAAACGCTGTTGAAAATGAAAACTCTTGAATAAACTTCAATGTACGATGATGAGCAGAGAATAACATGCTTTTAAATGATTAGAATATATGGGAAACACCATCTCTTTCGTGTACCTCTTAGTGAGCTGTATTCTTTGTTGTGCGCAGCGGAAATTTCGGCAGAGTTTTTGGTGCACAATAAGAGAGAAAGATCGATAAGAATTCTTGTTTCTCAAAGGGAACAAGAATCTGAAAGCCTAATATCCCATCAAAGTGGGATATTTGCTCTTCCTCTCGTCAGCTCTAGGACTGCGCATCGAGGGATCCTAAAAACTATTACAATGGCCACAAACTCAAACAATCAATTTTACGTGGTTCGGCAAACTGCCTACGTTCACGGGGCAAGGAGGGGGGAGATCTACTATTAAAGAGAAAAAGAATACAATGGGTTTACAACTCTCACAATCTAAACCCTCAAATAGGCTCCTTACAAGAAAAGGTCAGCCTCCAAATATTTTCTCTCTCTTCACAAAACCCTTTTTCTTTGCTGTGTTTTCTCCAAGAAACAAAGCCGCCGAAATAAGGAATCCGCCTTGTTGCCCCCTCACTTCGCTCTTTTTCCTCTGCCCAGGTCCGTAGCCGCCCTTGATTGCACCCCCTACCTTGCTACAAACCCTAGGCTAACAAATCAATTTGTTATTTATAGTCAAGAGGGAAAATCGGGTGGGCCTTTGAGATTCCCTAATCTCTTCACGCGCACGAAGCCGCAATCCGCAATTTGATTCGTGGTGGCCCCCACGAGTTGAAGACAAACGCGTCCACAATTCTCCACCTCGGTGAAGTTTTCCCAAAACTGAGCCGACACCAACCAAACCAAATGTCTCACTTGTTGTGTCCAGTACACCGTGAAACAATTCACGACAACAGACTCAATCCATAACAAGTCGAGAACCCAAATGAGAATGCAAACACTCTCCAAATGTCAGTATCAACTCACCAAATCGATCTCACCCCCATCAAAATCCAACCCGGCTGCATCATAAAGACTGCCTACGTATCCTCTTGCCCAAGGAATCAAGCCGAACGTAGTTCACCCAAATGGCCGCGAACGACCTCAATTCACTAGAAGAGTTCGCAACCCTTCTCCAACATCAACTCTGCGGCTGATAGCACCTCCAATGGCCTCAAACACCTCCACCTGAGGTGAACCAATGGCCATATCAAAACTATGTCTGCCAGCTGCACGTGATTCAAAACCCAACTCATCATCTGCATCCAAAACCAAATGATCTCCAAGCCGTGTCACCTCAGCTGGAATCCCAAATAATGCAGTATGATCTGGAGTAATCTTTACCCAATGTGGAGTAGCATCACTCTCCACCCGCTGCGATACCTCTAAGGTCTGTCCAAAACTCTCCACCTGCTGAAAGTCAATTGGCTTCCTCATCGAAGCCTCAACCAAAGTGACACTACCAAACCTATCTTCCAATGGAGTTTTACCTCCAATCGCAACAGTTGACAACTCTTTAATAGGATGACCCAAATATGTCGAAGCCTCTGTCCAGAAACTCTTCTGCAAACCATTGCTTGACAACAAACACCGATCCTCCTCCAGCAAGGCACGATCTTCCAAATTTGTCACCTTATCTAGTTGCCCCAAGATTTCCTTTCCAACGAAGTGTCTCGAAATGCCGTGAGCTCGGCTCCAATACAGAAACAGGTCCATCTTGTACCTCCCACCAGAATGGAGTACCTTCACCTTTCTGTCTATCACACACTTCTTCAAACTGTTAGAGACTACTAGGACTTTCTCCAAAGGGGATTTGGTTGCAACCCAAACACGCCTAGAACAGCCACCAACAAAGAAAACCAAACGCCTATTACCTCCCAATGATGCCCCCTTGGAAGACCCCCAAACATCCACGTGAACTCCTCCAGAACGACCCTTAGCACGGTGAATAGAGGTGTCACACTTCACCTCGGTCTTCTTGCTCACATCAACATGTTCACTGGACTTCAAACTGCATGTCTTCGCACCCTCTTTCAGTTTATGCGAGGAATCAATACTGGAATGGCCAAGCCCCAAATGTCGTAGTCTAGTCAAATCAACAGAAGTCGTCAGCTCTCCACCTGCCACTATACCTCCAGTCAAGTAATACAGGTTATTTCTCCTGACGCCCTTCATCAAAATACGAGAGTCTCTCACAATATCGAGAACCATGTCCTAAACACGAACCTTCAGACCCTCTCCAACCAAAGCTCCAATCGAGATCAAGTTCTTCCTCAAAGAAGGAACATATCTCACATCGTTTAACTCTCTAACAGTCCCGTCAAACATCTTTATGCGAATTCTTCCTATCCCAAGGATCTGGCATGCACGGTTATCAGCCATGTACACCACACCACTATCCACCAGCTTCTCAAAACTGGAGAACCATTCCCTTCTAGGGCACACATGATAGGTCGCACCACTATCCAACATCCATTCAGATTCCTCCGAATAGCTATCTGTAGGACTGATAGAAAGCGAATAAATAGAAGAGTCAGAATTATTACCATCCGATACGATGTTTGCTTCTGATGATGGTTGCTTCCCTTTTCCCTTCTGCTTATTCTTCATCCATTCGTCGAGCTTTGGGCAGTCTTTCTTCCAATGACCAGTCTCCTTGCACCAAGCACACTGATCTTTTCCTACTCTAGACTGTGACTTCCAATTCTTCCGGTTTGGACCCTTCCCTCTTGCGACCAACGCCTCTGCTACCGGCTCAACTGAAGCCTCCTTATCCTTCTTTTGAAGCTGATAATTCACAAGTGCAGTAGTGACATCACTATACGAAAGGGATGCCTTTCCATTAATAAGAGTAAGGACGAAGGTCTCATATTCCTCGTTGGGCAAGGAACTCAACAACATCAACACCTTGTCCTCATCTTCAATCTTGACATTCACATTCGCCAAATCCGCAAGAAGCTTTGTGTAATGGTTCATGTGATCTCTAATGGAGGTTCCCTTCTTTAACTGGAAACGATAAAGTCTCCTCTTCAAATGCAAGCGATTTTCCACACTCTTGGTCAAATACTTGCTTTCGAGAATCTCCCAAATCTTCTTCGCAGAAGTCTCATTCATCACATCATATTTTAGATCTTGAATCAAACAAGATCTAATCACACCACACGCCGTTCGATTCATCTTTTTCCAAACCTTCTCTTCAATCTCATCTGGCTTGCCATCTAACTCCAATGTATCCTCCAAATTCTGCGCGTTCAGCGCATCCAAAACCTCGCATCTCCATAATCCAAAGTTGTTTGTGCCATTAAATTTCTCCACATCTATCTTCATAGAGTGGATATTCAAACTCTGAATGGTCTTCGCGCCAGAAGCACCACCCTCGACACCCGAAGCACCTTCTTTCCCCGACATCTTACGCACCAACGAACAAAGAATAGATCCAAAACTGAAAGATAGAGTCTTTACCAAAAGATCCCACCTTTATCACCAACGAAGTCCTAAACGGGCCTCCAAATTGATCTACTCCTCCAACCAAACCCTAGATCTGGAATCTGGGCTCTGATACCACTTGTTGTGCGCAGCGGAAATTTCGGCAGAGTTTCTGGTGCACAATAAGAGAGAAAGATCGATAAGAATTCTTGTTTCTCAAAGGGAACAAGAATCTGAAAGCCTAATATCCCATCAAAGTGGGATATTTGCTCTTCCTCTCGTCAGCTCTAGGACTGCGCGTCGAGGGATCCTAAAAACTATTACAATGGCCACAAACTCAAACAACCAATTTTACGTGGTTCGGCAAACTGCCTACGTCCACGGGGCAAGGAGGAGGATCTACTATTAGAGAGAAAATACAATAGGTTTACAATCTCACAAAATAAACCCTCAAACTAACTCTCTAATCTCTCACAAAAGAAATCGGGTAGGCCTTTGAGATTCCCTAATCTCTTCACGCGCACGAAGCCGCAAGCCGCAATTTGATTCGTGGTGGCCCCCACGAGTTGAAGACAAACGCGTCCACATTCTTAGTATCTTTTGACGCTACATTAGAACACTAACCAGAGACCTTTCGAGGACAAATTTTCAAAACCAACCCTTTTGGTTTTTTATTTGTAAAAAACGACCTATTTCAGTTTTATTTGCAAAAACCGACCTGGTTTCAGCCTCAGCGCTAAAACCAAGTCGGTTTTTGAAAAAAAGTTTCCGAAACTTCACGGGAGTTGAACTCCCGTGAAGTTTAGCAGCTTTTAACTGTGAAACTTCACGGGAGTTGAACTCCCGTGAAGTTTAGCAGCTTAATTAAAAGCTGCTAAACTTCACCCGTGAAGTTTCGGAAACTTTTTTTCAAAAACCGACCTGGTTTCAGCCTCAGGGCTGAAACCAGGTCGGTTTTTACAAATATTTTGAAAATGGGTCGTTTTTTACAAATAAAAAATCAAAAAGGTTGGTTTTGAAAATTTGTCCGACCTTTCGACGCTTTTATGTACTACTCAGTTATATGCAATTGTAGTATCATTTGATAGTTTTAATGATAGAGAAGTTATTGAATAATGTTGTGTCGTTTGTTGAATTAACAGACTTTTATATTGGTAGAGGTGAGGTTTGGGATGATTACTTGCCACATTACAGTAGAAGCAATTTAATACAAGTAAATTGATCATCAGCAACATCCTTTGGGCCAGTAACAGTAGGCATAAATTGGGGTGGCAAACGCGTCGGGTCGGGTCATAGTTAGACCCGACCCGTATAAGTGTGATCCGACCCGACCAGCTTAATAAATGAGTCAATGCGATCCGACCCGTTTATTAAACGGGTTATCCGACCCAACCCATATAACCCGAATGACTCATTTATCAAAGCTCACTTCAATGGTATTTTGTGATAATAATTTGATTATAGTTACTTAAACACCCTAAAAAAACAAGTGTCTGACACTAAGTTCGATTAAGAAGACATGTCATGTGCCTAGCACATGTATTTTAATGATATTTTGGGAATTTAGAAAAAAATTTGTCACAAAAATTGGTCAAGGTAGTTGATTGCAATCAGAATCCCAGTTAAAGGTGGTTTCCGTATAAGTTGAACTTTAAAGGTGGTTTTCATGTAGCACCATATTTTTCGGGCGGTTTAGAGGGAAAAAAATCCTATAAATATTTGTGGATATCATTTTCCCTAAACTTTTTGAAGAAGAAAGTAGTGTATTAATAACATATGCTTGTAGGACACACCAAACAGCTATACAATTTCTCTAATAAGATCATGGAATTTCCATAATCTTCAACTCCAGTCCTCATTGATTATAACCTAAGTAATCAATATGGACAACTCATATTATTTCTAAAAAAACAAAATACAAATTAGAAACGAGAAATAAGCAATATATAATTAATGTTAGGCAATCAAGATTGCCAAGGCCCAGCACATTGTCTGGCCCAGCAGTGGTAGCACGTTCGGCAGGTCTCTACATGACTATATTGGACTTCAAATTAAACAGTAAAAGTTAAAAGGCTTGCTGCAAATTTTCCTTCAAATCCCCAAATTTGGCTATAGGCGACCAATAAAGTAAGGCGATAGCGAGCGAAGAGCGAGCAAAAGCATCAACGATGAAGTTTGTGATGGAGTTCGTAGAGAACTTGGTCCTCTGGCTAATGGAGGATCCAAAGTAGAGATTCTGATTGCAATCAACTCCCGGACGCTCGTCACCTCTCTCCAATCGCCGCCACTCGCCGCTTGAGCTTCGTGATGGGAAATCTAGGGCTTCTCTTCTTTCTTTCTTTTTTCTCTCTACAATGTGTTTATGGGAAAGCTAGAGCTTCTCTTTTTTTTTCTCTTACATCAGGTCGGTGTTAGTGTTATGCGGTTTAGTCGGGTTAATCTGAATTGACCTATTTAATAAATGAGTAAATTTAGGTTGACCCGTTTATGACCCGACCCATATAATTCAAGTCATACCCATTATAAACGGATCAGATTGACTCGGGTCATAAATTGCCACCCCTAGGCATAATGAAACTGCCATAATTTATTTCAAACAATTCGTTGAAACATTTTCGCATACCAAACAGACTGGCGACAGCAAGTCTCTTCAACATTACGAAAAATATATTTGATCACAAAGCATAATCATTATTTGGCAGAAAATAAGTACCACTCACAACTGAGATTGGAGGAACAAGCAATAACAAAGTTCTAAATCATATAAGAAACCATGTTTTCACAAAAAAGGCTGCATTAGATTTCAATTTCAGAGCTACATGAGTAAAAAAGAACACAAATGTCAAAAAGCCTCTCTCTTCAACTCACATATCTCTCGAGGAATTGACTCGAACAAAAGTTTCAAATTTCATGGTGCAACGACAATACGACCAGCAACTTGATCAAGATCCCGCCTTCCCTGGGAAGTGATTATCCTTCCACTGAAAGAAGGGGAAAATATCTGGTTATTTATAGAATAAGAAAGCAAAAAAAATGGGGGGAGAGAGAGAGAAGTCATAAATACTTGCATCATATTTAAAGAAAGGGTTTTTTTATTTGGAAACCACCTCAAAATAGGATAAATCTTTATTTTTCAATTTATTCATAAGCCACCTTTACACCGGGTTTGTGTTGCAATGAACCACCTCCCTAGTCAAAATTTTCGCTAAAAACCCAAAAATACCCCTAAAAACCTCGCATTTGAGGTGGGTCTCGTTTTGTTTATGTTTAGGTGTTGTTAGGATACAATTCATGTACCTTGAACCTATGAAGCATGGACACGCATAACATGAAGTCGTGTCGTGTCGTGTCCGTGTCGGACACACGTGTCGGACACACGTGTCGGACACACGTGTCGAACACACGTGTCGAACACACATATCCTATGTATTTTTTAGGATTTGCCTCGTGTCGGCGTGTCGGATGGCCATGTCGGATCCGTGTCCGTGCTACATAGCCTTGAACATGAATTTTTTAAGCTTATTTTTGCTGTTTTAGTGAGATTTTGACTTGGAGGTGATTGATTGCAACACAAACCCAATTTAAAGGTGGTTTAGGTATAAATTGAAAATCAAAGAAAGTTTTTGTATAATTACCCTATTTTTAAGGTGGTTTCCACGAAAAAAAACCTTAAAAGAAACAGGTATCTTGAGACAAGCGAAACCAGATGTATGTAAACATAGTACTATATGAGAATCTGAGACCTTTTCAGGGATTCAATGTAAATAAGTGTGTTATTTGTATGAAAACACAAGAAGATCTCATCGACAATATAGCTTGCGACAGCAACCAATACTTCATGTTGGACTTTGATGGCTTATAAGAAGAATGTACCAATTTTTTTTTCAAAAATGCTGTATTTTTAATGAATCCATAGATGAACAGGCTTTGTAACAGTGCAAATATAATCACATAAATAGAAACAAAAAAAATCGACCATAAAAAAAGTAGGTAATATTTAAGACCAATTTATCATAAAGTTTACCAGGTCATAAAGACATAAAATATAACAATAGATAACTCAATATCTTAAAATTGATATTAACAATAAACATAAATATTTTAGCTCAAATTAAAATCCTTGAACTGAACCTATCCTAAAGTTTATTTGTCTTGATTTTAAATTATTGGGTCTTCACAACAAGAAAAGTTATATGAATGGTCATAAACCAAGTGACCGAATCACATATTTTTGGATAAAATAGCTAAACAAATGCAAGACTCACCCTCTTGGATCAACTTCAATGATATTCATTGCCTGCAACTGTTGCAAGATGTGGCGCGCAATGGCACCGCTGCTTTTGCAGAAATGAGGAGGCCGGCTTCCATTTCTCTTGCGACCTCCATAGATTTTCTGAAAACCGCCAACCCCAATACCTTGCCTTAGGTAGATTTTTCTAGCCATTGAAGCTGCACCAAGATAATAAGCAATAGATAAGTACCAAATTTGAGATAATGGATTCGTTTGCCATATCTGTAAAGGTGACAAAAGGCTCAACAGGTGGCAGAAAGATACCAGCTCTAATATAGTACCAGTCAGGGTCATAAGGAGCAAGCTCCTTGAACCTTCCAGTTTTCACAATATCCGTCCAGTGAGGGAGTTCCATCTACTCAAGAACAAGATAATCAATAATTAGTTATAATCATCAACTACAGGCCTAGATAAATATAAGCGGAAGTTGATTTCCAGTTTTGTATTTTTCCGCTTCACTTGAAAGTCCAAGTAGTAGTATATGTACCAACACAAAGTATCACCAACACAACCAACAAACAATTTACTGAGTGCAATCTTAACAAAGTATCGAACATTCAAGAATGTAGACAGTAATAACACATGAAAAAGAAGCTCAGATGTTGAATGCACATTTAAAAGCAGTTATCTTCACTTCAGAGCCCGTATCTTAATTCTATAATAGAGAACATCAAACAAGCACCCACCATCTTTCAGAAATTGTATCTTTGTTCCATATTTTAGAGAATAGGCCTCATTTTTGCACGAGGGCTCAACAAGAAAAGAACGCTAAACTTTTAATGCTCAACAAGAAAAGAAAGGTAAGAATAACAGAATCTCCAAGAGGCAAGTATCAAACTGATGACAAAGCATGCACACATGATATAAGCAATGCATCCAACAAAAATTGCTAACGCCAGCTCAGTAGTACAGCATTAAGAGTGCCCAATGTTTCACAATTTCTCATTGCTCAATAAATCCAACAGATTTAAGGCGTACAAATGACTATAAAAATCAATTTTTTTTTACATTAACTATAAAAGATCAAATGTTCACACGACCTTCACGTAGAAGTGACAAAAAACGTAAAGAAATCAAATACCAGCCTCAGCACACAACTACAAATGGCATGAATTAAAGGGCAAAAAAAACTAAACGAATGGCGGTGGAAAGGGATCGAACCTTCCCCGATCTCTTGAGATGAGCGGAGTACGCAGTGACGAAGTCATGGGGAGAGACGTCCTTCACGGTCCTGGCCGCCTCCATTGCTCGAACTCGTTGGAGATCAGAAGCTAGGGTTAGGGTTTTTACCTTTGGCGGCCGGGAGAATGCCCAAATAGGACTTTTATACGTCCACCTGTTTGGGTTGTTTTACACTTTTACCACTTTCCTCTACACGGGCTTGCGTTTCGGTCGGGCTAAAGGCCTGTGTGGCCCAAGAATCAACAAGAGGTTAGCTTATCGGATATCCCTTACTTAGGGGCTGCCTGGTTGGCCTAAAATGCGGAGAAAGGCCTAAAAACGAAAACTAACAAGGAGGGAAGTGTCAGTTGTCGGTGTTTTGTGATGTTTGGGTTGCTCAAAATCAAAAAATAAATAAATAAATAAATAAAACCAGGGATGGAAAATTGTAGCCACATGAGATTTGGAGGAAATGATGTTTTCATCCCCAAAAGGCCAAAATCGTTAGAAAGCGTAATGAAAACGAGTAAAACAAAAGCTTCGCGCCCGCTTAGGGGTGTTAACGGAGCGGATACGGTTCGGATATGACACTTATCATATTCATATCCGCTTTCTATAAACGGATACAGATACAGATACAGATTATCCTCGGTAAAAAAAAAAATCTTAACCATATCTGCACTCATCGGAAACGGATACGGTTCAGATATTTGAGAATCGGATCGGATACGATCACAAATATGAAACGGATATTCGACAAATGGATATGAATCGGATATGAATTAGTACACATATGTATAAATTACAACCAAATGGGTAAATGTATGTGGTTGTAGGCTTCTCTTGCATAAATGTATGTGGTCGCAAATGATAAAAATATAACACAACAATATACAATGATCTGATCAAACAGCTCGCGGACACGATTAATGTTGCAATCTATCTTCACATATGCATCAACCAAAATTGCCTAAGAAAAAGCATCTCTTTTGGGCATTTCATCAAACAGCTTTTGTGCTTCCCCCAATTCTCCATAGTTGACATAACCACGTATCATTGAGTTCCAAGATACCAAATCTTTACACTTATGGTCTGTTTGGATGGAGGGTAGAGAGGGACAAGGGAAGGGAAATTTCATTTTAACCTTGTTTGAGAGTTTCATTTAGGAGGGTAGAAGAGGAAAATGGAGGAGAAATTTGGCCCAAATTCTTTCACCTCAAATTGGAGTGTAATGGAGGGGAAGGGAAGGAAGGTGAATTGTTTCCCTTCCTTCCCCTTCCTTCCCTTTCCTAAGTAAACTCCCAAACACACCATTACACCCATCAAAACCTCTCTAGCTAAATCAATCTTCTTACTCCTATAATAATAACTAATCAACCCATTAACTACAAACAAATCAGAATCAACCCCAATTTAAAATACTTCCCCATGAATCAACATGGCAAGCTTTTGATCAGAAATCAAACTGAAAGCAGTTAGGACAAATGGGTGTGTGTAATTATCACTCTTCACTCCATTTCTCTTCATTTTGACAAAGAATCGGATTGAATGACAAGGGTTTGAGGCCTTTGAATGAAGTCTGATGACAGTGTTGTAGATAAAAGTGCCAAGTTTTTGGATTTGAGAGAAGATGAGATTGATGTATGAAGAGGATGGGTTAGGGTTGGGGAGTTGGGAGAGAACTAAAAGGAGACAGCTGTGGGAGGAGGATGAGTGCGAGAGAATGGGGTTGGTGATGGATTGGGCATGAATTTGGATAATTTGAAGGGTGCTCTTTGCATTTTTGAGGGAGGGTTGAAGTGGGTTTTGGGAGAAGTTTTTGAGGAAGGAAGAGCTGGTGGGCGATGGTGGGCGACGGTGGGCAATGGCAGGGGAACTGGCGGGCG